TCATCTCTACGAAATAAAAAAGAAACAATACTACGTGAGCATATTAATTTCCACACTAATTTCCACCTCTACCTATCTCTTTAGATTCTGGCTCAATCTGCAATAAACAAAGCTAGTGGAATACTCGTCAGTATAAGCGTCGATACAGAATTCACCCTTGAGCTGGCTATTCAGAAAGGAAGGGTGAGATCACTTTTTGTCTCTACGAATCGCCTTTTCTATCTAATCGCCCAACAACTCCTGTAATCTTTTTTAAGGTGCGGGGATCGGCCAAAACGCTTAGGACTCGGGCCGTGTTAATCGACAGTCAGATAGGAATGATATCGCAAAAGGTCAGTGAAAAAATCTCGACCATCATCCGTTTGGAAGTCGGATGCGGGGCGCGTCCCTCATATGAAACTGACTAAGGGCTAAAAGATATTGGACTTTTAATATAACTATTTTAAGGCTGTCGATCTTCTTGTCGAGATGTCAGCTCCATTCGTCGAAGACGCCATCAGACTACTGCTTCGTCGTGGTATACCGACCACGTCGCTTTTCCAATTCCCTACAAGAAACGAACTTCTGGTTGTCGAAGAGAAATTCTTAAGGCTTGAAGCTGACATAGACTTTCCAGTGGCCTACTATTATTCCCCTGTTGCACCTAAATTACGATCTAGTCCATAAACAGAGCACTCTCCAATCAATTACACAGTCCATGCTCCAAATTCTTAGGATATATTCGAAACCGAGGGAATTATTTTGATTTTTTTTCAACGGATTCAACTGTAGGCTGAATTCTTCCGTTTAGGAAAATTCGGACGTTTCTGGTTTCGGCCGGGTTCAACTACCACTGATGTACTCCATTCAGCGATTTCTTGCCCTCAAACACCCTACCACTGTCTACCCGGGCAGATCGCCCACTCGTAGCCCATATAGCTTCCATACTTGGGCTGCACAATCAACAAATTACATCTGCAAGTTGTAATATGATTCTCTCTCCCCTGTAAACACACAAAAGTGATAAAAAAGGGAGCAAATAATTCAGCAAGCCATTCAGCACAGCACCACAGTTGCCCATATGATCACAGAGTGTTTCCCTACTGTATTGATCTGATTGGTCTTTTCGTTAGGTAACCAATCAGAGCAGGTGGAGGTACCATTTTCGTACAGTCCAAAAGGACCACTTCTTAACGGGTATTTCTATAATATACAACCCCTCTCTATTCATTCCCATGTAACCCTCTTTTCGGCTAACTTTTTGAAAGGAATAACTCTCCATAAAGAATACCCTGGGGGAATAGTTCCGCTACAGCT